TCTATCTTGATAATCTTGCTTGTATGCTAGGCTGGAGGACTTTTTCTTTAAGTACTTTGAACATAACTTTCCAAACCTTTTGTTTGCAATGTTTCTGTTGAAGTCTGCTGGTAATCTGGATGATGCTGCTTTAAAATTACCTTTTTTCCTTCATATTTTTAAGATTCTGTCCTTATCATTAGTTTTTGAAAGCTTTGTTATATGTCTTGGTGTATGTCTAGTGGTGTTATTTTGCATAGGTCTCTTGGTTCAAAACTTCTGGTTCATTTCCCAGAGCAAGACTGAATTCAGCGAGTATAGATTTTCTATGCCTCTCTTTCTTCTGGGAACCCCAGGATACATGTTATTTCTCTTCAAGTTGCCCAAGAGAGCTCTTATACCATTTTCATTTTTTAAATTTTTTTCTACTTTGTCTTGTGTTCTCCAGGATTATTATTAAGTTCATTCTCTCCATTGTTCCTGTCTCTGCTGTGAAGGACCTCAATTATATTTTTAAAATCAGCTGTATTGTTTCTTAAATATCAGGATTTCTGAATGTAGCTGCTACATATTTTCATGATTTTTATCTTATCATTTATGTTCTCCTTTATACATATATTTAGGTTCATCAGCATTTCCAGGTATGTTGCCCTGAATCTATTATGCTCTGCAATCCACTAAGGCTCCTCTCATGTTTTGTTTTTTTTTTTTTCCCCCCTGTCATTTGTACTGTATTCTTTTCTCTTAAATTTTTAAAAATTTTCTATGGGTTTTAATAAATTTTCAACTACATTTTGTAGTCTGTTGTAGTCAGTGGGGTGGTAACTGTGAGGGGTAGTAGATCTAAAAAGAGGACTGAGGTAACAGACATAAAAAAATCATCTCCAGTAGATTTAGAAATTTGAAATTTCTTTTGTAAAGCATTTGTGTGTGGGGGGGGGGATATTTTAGATATCTCAATCTTTGATAGTGGTTGTGAGTATTTTGGATGTCTCAACCTTGGCAAAGGGTGGCAGGTGTTTCAGATACTTCAGCCTGGACTTCAGCAGTAGTCTCTTCTATAAGGATGTCCAGTTATTCTGTGTTATGGATCTCAGAGTCAACAGTTCACACTCTTGTCCTCATCTCTGTAGCTCTCCCACAACACACCCTCTTTCCTGGGTGTCTGCTCATGCACGCCCTTATTCAGTGGAGTGCTGGTTCTAAAGAGTCCCAGTGTTAGTATGTACCCAAGTCAGTAGCTATAGTAGGCCTTTCTCCCTCTTATGGGTTGCATTATTACTTTATACTGTTTACTTAAAGTTTTGCTTGCCCCTTTCAGTAGGGTTGATCCTTTTAATATATAGGCTGATAGTCATGTTTTCCTTCAGTGTTTTTGGCTGATTTGTGTGTATGCCTGGAGGAAGAGAACCCTGCATCTTCAATCTGTTGCCATCTTGCCTCTCTCACTCTTCATGACTTTGCTCCTAGCTATCACTTCAAATTCAGTTTACTATTACTGCTTTACAAAGCCCTATATACCCAGTCATTTCTAAGTCTTCAATTTGCAGAATTAATGATTTTTTTCTCCCTTTATTCTTTGAACAACAATTTGTTCTATGGTAATGCTTTTCTTCCTTGGCTTTAGGATACCTATGAAGTAGTCTTAGAGATGAAAAAAATACAGAGTTTCCAGATAATTCCTTGTTCCATCTTTGTTCCTATAGCATTGTGTACACTCTGCTGTTAATAACTTCTATCATTCTTTAACTTCATTCCCCATTTCACCTAGGTCTTTGAACAAGTAATTACCTCTCTGAGGTGTTTTCTCTTTTTCCCCATCTTTACCTATTTTGATAGCATATCCTGTTATCTATGCAGAGTAAGAAAATAGAAGGGCTAAATTACTGCAATTTTATTTTAAATTTCAAAATAACTTTTTCATATGCTGAGATGTAAAATTTAAATCACAAATATGAACATAAAGATGAATATAGGCACTTTAAACACTGACAAAATCCAGCTACAATGAAATAGTTTTTTTTTTTAAAAACAAATAGATATTCTTATAACATAGTGAAAAACTAAGCCATAATAAAGTACATAGGAAAATTATAGTAATTCAAGATTTCGGAGTTCTTTTCAAATATATGGTTCTCAAGGTAAATGTTAATATTGCTTTAAAATTCATCACAATGTAACAATACGTTGATGGTAATTCAGTAAGTAGTTTTTTCATAGTGATTTAAAGATGTTCCACGAAGGTTCCTCACTTAAGGAATTTTGGATAGAATCACAACCAAATTTTGACAGTGGGTAAAAGCGCATGAAAATTCCCGTTCCTGGTGCAATAAGCAGAATGAAATAATTTATAAGATAGTATACTTCAGATATAGACAATCTTACTAAGCTTCAAAATAACCTTTTGAGCAAGTGGTATCTCACTCTCATTAAAGGAAAGTCTTTACTGCTGAGGACACTGGGTCTCTGGAGTTGATTTGGAAGACACATGTAGAATAGGGTGTGATTTCTTACAAGTATCCTTTCCCAATTTGCTTGCAGTTTCCTTCTCTTCTTTAACTTCTGTTTGAAGCCTTGATTCAGCAGCTAACCTACAGGCATTAAAGCATCCACTCTAAATTCAAATGTGGTTAAGTAAAATTACGAAGAAACAATAATGGGTCTCTAGTAAGATATGATTTTCTTTTTGTATAGGAGGAAAAAAATTGTAGTTAACCCTTCAATACCACCAACAAACTAAGTGACTGCCTCTGTAAAAGAATCTTTAATGTATCTATAGAATGATTCTTAAAATGTTTAAAGAACTATAGTTAAGATTCATAAAACATAACACCAAAGTCTAAATTAAAGAATTAAAATATAATGGGATGTCTATTATAAACACACCAGACAAAAATATGAAAATGCTAGAGCACTACTTTAATATTAACATACAAAAGGCAAATTCAAGATAAAAATAACATGGTATGTATGACTATATGTCTATCTGTCTCATTAAAATAAAAATTGAATTTTGACAAGAATAGTAATTTAAGAATAAACAGTAGTGAGATGATTTTTAAAAGCTTGAGATATTTTTTAGAAAGACCATCATAAATTTATAAAGCATGTAATAGTGAGGTACCAAAACAACCCATATTTATTGTTACTATTTTTTTTTAAAGATTTATTTATTTATTTATACATATAAGCCCTGGGTACAGTCAGAAGCGCAGAAGGGTGAGAGAATTCACCAGAGCCAGAGCAGGGAGCAGAGCAGGCAGAAGGACCGAAGTACACTGCTGAGAGGAGCAGCGGGCGGCAGGAGAGGTCTGCGCGCCATGTGGGACCCTCCTCCGGTGGCCGGGTTGCAGCGGGGTATCGAACTGGAGCTGCAGAGGCTGCGGGCAGCTTCGCAACCCAGTGCTCAACCGCTGTGCCACCGGGGAGGCCCTTGTTACAATATTATCACAGGATTGTGTGTCTAAGTTAATCATGCAGAGAATAAAAGAATGGAAAGTCTTAAGTTAGCAGATGGGACTCACACGTACACAAAAACAAATGTTTTGTGGCATTTTATTTGTTTAACTCTCAAGACAAAAAAAATTTCAATGTGCTACTTAATTTATGCCAACAAGTAGGTACATACATACATACATTTACTTAAGTAATTTTTTTCAAGCAAAAACAGCAGAAAAAGAAATGAAGGTAGTAACAAAGATAGCAAGTTCTGCACTGCTCAATTCTGGAAAGCCATTTCCAGAAATATACAATGGCCAAGCACATGTATACAACAAATCACATATATACAAATAACCTGTTGAATTCACTTCCTATGCACACCCACTTGTGATTCCAATCATTTAAAGTTACTTTTTCCTTGAGAATATCAAGTTTTATTTTATGTGATTTATAGGCTATAAATTTCTTAATAAAATGTTAATAAATAAATTTACTTTATTTATTATTATTATTAATTTTTACTTATTATAATATTAATTTTTATTATTAATAAAATGTTAATAATAAATTTCTTAATAAAATGTTCCTTGAATTTAATAAAAATTCAAGGAACAGAATAATCATTACTTTTACATTATTTAATAATAGCAGCTAACATGTTTGAAGTGCTTTCATTGTTGAATACCACCTTTAGTAGCCGTAAAGACTTAAAGAAAAATCAGACAAATCATACAAGAAAGTCTAACCAACAGTGTGCTATATCTTCTAATTCAAATGTACAGGGTGCTTCCCTGGTGACCTAGGAGTTAAGTCTCAGCACTATCACCACTGTGGCTTGAGTTCTATCCCTGCCCAGGGAGCTAACCCACATATGGTGCAGCAGACCTTTCCTGTCTTTCTTGCTGCTCCCCTTAGCAGCATATTTCAGTAAATCAGCCTATTCTCCCCACTCTGTCTCTGGTGAATCCTTTCTCTCTCCCTCTCTCTCTCTCTCTCTCACACACACACACACACACACACACACACACACACACACCCGCCCCATATCTCTGGCCTACATCTAGTTCTATTATGAAATAAATAAATTAAAAAAAAATTCAAGTGTACACTAGAGTAAAATACCTTATTTTTCCCCTCTAAGACTGATAGAGTCCTAGCAGCACCTTTCTTTTTTCCCAACTTGAGGTAATAATGGCTTACAACACTTGGTATTAGAAATATAGGATCTTGGGCCTCTCTGGTGGCGCAAGGGGTTACGTCTCAGCACTATAAAGCAATAGGCAGCCATCACAACAAGAGTTGGATCCCCGGCCAGGGAATTGACCCACATTGTCACACCTGCTCTCCCCTCAGCAGTGTATTTAAGTAGATCTACCTGTTCTGCTCCCTACTCTGTCTCTGGTGAATCCTCTCACTGACATCCCCCTACCCCCACCCCCTGAGCCTATTCCCCAGTTCTTGTACACGTAAATAAATAAAAATAAAATCTTAAAAAAAAAAAAAATATATATATATATATATATATATGATTTTAAATACCTCCTTTCATTAGAGATATTCCAAGCAATCTTCACATCAGTTTTTTTTTAATGTTTATACTTATTTTAAATCCATCGATCTCTCCATTGCATACAGACTAAAATATTTTTAATCTTTTATTATCTTTTTACCTTCTAAGTTCCTCATTTACTTTTTTACTTAATCATGCTCCTGCTGTACACCTGCAGAACTTGTGTTTAGCACCCAATTCTACCCTGCCTTTAGTTACTATTACCTGCCTTTTCCTTCTACTTCCTTTCTCTTACCTTATGGTCTTTATTGAACTTTTTAAAGGATAATGCCCTGAAAACAAAAATTCCTACAGACAGACATGTTCAGCTGACACTTCTGCTTTTAAGTCACAAACTCAAGTATGCAAAACTAGAGGCTTTGAGGTTTTAGTGTAAAACATTAAAATAGGTATCAAAATCTGTCCTTGAAATCTTAAGATAAAGTTTCAAAAATCATTAAATATTTCTCCTAAATTTTCTGTGACACAAATTTCTTAGACTACTGCTCAGCCCTTTTAGAAGGTAAGTTAAACTTTTTTTCCAGTCACTCTTGAACCAGGGGGAAAAAAAAAAAAACCCTAAAAGCAAAAACTGGTATCTTTATTCAAATCAAAACATTTAGAGATGCACTAGACCTTTGGTATTTCTGTTTCAAGAAACAGAAAAGTCTAACTTAAAAAATCATTCTATTTAGGAATCCTTTCCCCTTGCAATCACTTTAGTCTTTCTTAAAGTTTTATAAAAGTTGAACATAGGCATATGAAATTGGGGGATTATATTGCAAGCAATAATAAGGAAATAGACAAAGAAAGAGATAATACAGTTCACGCAGCGACAGAAAAGAGATGGAGAGGTCTGCTCACTGCTTTGAACAAAAGAGGACACTGACCTGGGAGAGTTAGGCGTGTTTCCACTTCTTTCACTTAAGGTTTCAGAGTCATCTGGAACTCCTATAAGTGTCACACATTTCTTTTCCTTTCCTGATTGTATATCCATAGGCAGGTTTTTGTGAGGAGAGAAAATGACTCCTGGTGTGTTTACAGGAACTGTCTTTTTTAATTGCAAGTTGTTATTTTCTAAACTGCTCAGACAGGACTTGGCCTCCTCTTTCTGAAGTGGTAATCTATAAACATCTTCCCCAACAGCACTGCTGGCAAATTCATCCTTAGGGGTGGTTATACCCACAGGCAGTATCTCACGTCTCTTTTTGAGTACAGGCACTTCAATTTTCTCTAAAAATGAAAACCATTAAAAATATATCCAAGTCAATAAATTAAAACAAAGACACAACATAAACAGGTAGAACTAGTTATATTTTCTCCTTTTCCTTTTTTCCATCCTTTTAAAAAAACCTATTCATCTCCGTACTGAAATAGATATATATATATATCTATTTCATTATCTTTATATGAAATATAAAGATATCTATATCTTTATCCTTTTCTTTTCAATGAGTCCATTAACTGTATCTTTTAAAGATTGTCTGGTTATAAATTTTTCTTTGGGAACTCAATATATTTGGCTCTAGGAATGAAATGAACAACTAAATTTTATTTTGGTATTCTGGTAAAAATTATTAGGGGGCTTCATAAGATTTCAGCATGGAAATGAGGAAGGATATAGCAGCTAAGAGTAAATGAATCCAGTAACAAACCCTAGTACTAGAACTTTGCAGCTTGAGCAGTTTGAGAAATTCCAAACTTCTCTGAGCTTTATTTGCTTCGCCTGCAAAATGGAGAGTAAAATCACCTGTACTTCATTTAGTATTGTGTGGCAAGGGGAAAAAAAGATGAAATTCTCTGAATATGGTCCATTTGTCCCACCAAAAAAATGCAGTCAAAATCTAAGTATTTCTACCATGGATCTCTCCTCAGTTCAAACCATAGCATGCCTCATTATAGACTACTGCAATAGTATTCCATCCCCATTGCCGAATACATCGTTCTATCCCCACACTGTTCATACACACTGTCAGTGAATTTATTGCTCTAGTATCTTTTCACTATCCCCACACCAATGTGTCTTTCATTTTCAAAATCAAAATGTTAGTGAACTACACATGGTTAGATGTGCAGCATTGTTCCTGCCCTACACTGTTTTTAAGAAATTTCCTCTTTCTCTTGCACCGCTCCTTTGAAACTCACACGATTTAGATTCACTGCACTCTGTCCTGTCTCGTTGCTGAAGTAAGTTCGCAGACCTTTGAAATTTCTAGTGGGTAATTCTTAATCAGGAGAGCCTATTCAAGTCAGAGAAAAGTACGAGAAAGCAGTCTTTTTAAACTATAAGAAACCCTGCTATTGCTAACAACTTCCCCACTACTGAGAATCCATCTAGTCACAGACAATAATGAAGATATAGTCTTACACCTGTGAACATCACAGGGCATGAACTCGCTGAAAATTTATAACCTAAAACATGTAAATCAACATTAACTTTGAGCTAAGAACCATCACATTTTTTGACATTTTTCTTTTAGCTTATTTTTTAACTCGTATACAGTAAAATTCATGCTTTTCAGTGCATAAAATGCAGAATCTATATGGATAGACTATTATTTTCTACTTCAGTGATTAGACTTGCTAGTCATCCTCTGTTATCTGTTAAATTTATCATCCTTCACAATACGATCCCCAAGATTTAGCTGGGAACCTAGCAATGGAAACTGAAGATTTCATTTCTCAGCTTTTCTTGTAGGCAAGTAAGGCTGCATAAACAAATTCAGTTCAAGCTGATATATGCTGATGAACAATGCAAAGGGAGTCTGGATCCTGACACTGTGACCAGTCCTGGAATGCTTTCTCCAGACTTTCACCAGGGGAAATAATAAATACTTATCTTGTTCAAATCACCATTTTATTAGGCTTTTTAAATAAAAAGTCTAAACTCCCTAAGGTAGCTCTCCAACATCAAGTGCCACAATAAAACTGAACTCTTTCTGAATAAGATACCGCAATTCTTGGTAAAATCACTACCATCAAGATTCCACTATACAGATAACCAAAAGGAATACCTATTATATTCATGTACACCCAGTATGCATTTCTCTTTGAATTTTTCTGCACATCTTGTAGCAGTCAATTTATTTTATTTAGTACAGACACATTGTCATAGACTACTTTATAATGGGAGTTGCACAGTTGTAGGAAGAACAAAATTTGATATGATTTCTCAGGTTCTTATGATTTTAAAAATAAAATATATTAGACATGCATACCTTCAGGTTCATACTTCAGTTTTAATTCATCTAGTTTAGCTCTCAGTTTCATATTTTCACACTGGGAAACCTGGAGGCATCTTTCATTTGCAAAAAGTTTTCGCTCAATATCCAAAGCCCGCTGGCTCTCAAATAGTGCTGTCATTCTTTGTATGGACAATTCACCTTTAGTGCTTTCATTTTCTTTGCTACATTAATTTAAAAAAAAAAGAGAGAGAGAGAGAACCAATAAATATAAAGGAGTATATAAATAAATGTAGTTCATATCTTAGTTTAAATACATTTCCTTGGATTTTTAGTAACAAAGAAACAAAAAGCAATTAAAATAAACTTTAACAACTGTACTTTCACATTAAAAAAAACTCATGAATTTTTAAAGGAAATAAAGGGGAAATGCATTCTTTCCACATTTATGCACGTGTAAATTTCTAAATTTTAAATTGCTATTTATTCTTAAAAAATTTATGTAGTAACTAATACTATTTATCATTAAGCAAGTCAAGAGTCTCCATCTTTCCACCCATCCAATCCAGATACTTACTTTAGGTTGTCAAGCTTTATCTGAAGTAAATCTGTGTAATAGGTGCTATCTTCCACAATACCAGAGTTGGATGAAGACTTAGATTCCATACTTTCATATAAACTCTAAAGAAAACAACAAATCTTACTACTTAAAATAACAAATTAATAGATGTTAAATACTTGACAACACTTATTGAATGTTTATAACAGGGAGGTATTGTGCTCAGCACTATCCATTTAACTTCTAAAATAGGTGAAAGAGTGAGAATTCTCTTACAGATAAGGAAACTGACTTAAAATGCCACAGGCAAATAAACTGAGAAGAGAATCTGAACACAGATCTGTCTCCAAAGCATTTATTCTTAACCCAAACTGTGTCCTATGTTTATTTTCCTGCAATTCCACTTTTAGGTATTTATACAAAGAAAATAAAAATACTATCTTGAAAAGGTATGTGCACCCCCATGTTCACTGCAGTATTATACAGAAATGGAAACAACCTAAGTGTCCATCAATGGAAAATTATTTAGCTATAAAAAAAGAAATCTTGCCTTTTGGAACACATGGATGGACCTTGAGGGCATTGTGCTAAGTCAGACAAAGACAAATACCATGATTTCTAATATGTGGACTTTTTTTTTTTATTTTTATAATTATAAATTTTATTTTTATATTCCCCATACAATTGTGACCCCCTTATTTTGACCCCAATTCCTCCCCTCCCCGCACCCCACCCCCCATAGAGTGTCTCTGGTTCATAGTTGTTTGTTGATTTTGATTTTTACTTTCTTATAGTTATTCTTTTTCCTGGTCCCTTATTTAAGTTTTCTAGATTCCTGCTATGAGTGAGACCATCCGGTATTTTTCTTTTTCTTTCTGGCTTGTTTCGCTGAACATGATCCCTTCCTCACTGATACAGAGAAAAGACTGGTGGTTGCCAGAGGTAAGGATTTGTGGGGTGGGTAAAGGTGGTCAAAAGAAAAAATAACAAGTACTTGCTCAAAGTTAAAAAAATTAATTCTAATTTCATATTAAGATGTGAGTTATTTAAAAATAAAAAGGATTTGCAAAATTGACTACCTTTTTTTTTTTTTAACTTTCATAGTTTATGTTTTCACAACAGTACCAATAAGAAAAAATCCAGAAGAAATACAGACATAGGTATATGGGATATAAAATCATTTCTAGATCAAGGAATTTGAGAATTGATATACTGACTCTGAGAATCTTGAGTTGAGCTCTGGGTGCTTTTCTTTTTTTTTTAAAAGAAAGCATTAATTTGGCAACTTGGCATATATTTTTATCCCACAAAAATTACTTTATCTCTAGTCCTATTTGTATTAGTTTTATTTTTCTTTTTAATCACATTGGAAATTTCAGTGTTTTTTTTTTAAGTAGAAGAGAACAAATGCCTTAGGAAACAGTATATTTGAGACATAGTCTCTAGAACGCCGTTCCCCATGTTTAAAGGGGAAAAAGGTATGAAAGCAAACTTTTTTAAAAGGTAGTATTTTGAAACCACATCTCTCTCACTAAAATATTAATGTTGGCATTTCCTTTCATATCCTTTAATCACAGCATTTTGTGAAAGAGATGTCCCTCTAACAATGAAATAAACACCAGAGGGAAAAAACCTACTGAAGTTAAAAAGTATTAAGATATTCAATCCAAAATGTGGCTGTGATTTTCAGAGGTGTTAAACATACCTTAAATTTCTCCAAATTTCTAATTTCCCCTAACAGATGTTTAATTTCACCATTCTTCTGCTCCAACATGGCCAACAACCGTTCTTGTTGTTCAAATTCAGTTTGGGACCCCTTCATTTGTAGCAATGTAGCAATTTGTAACTAGGGAAAAAAGAACCCCCCAGTACCCAAAGTTGAGTAGGAAAGGAAGATTCTGATAACCACATTTTCAGTAAAATTCATATTTTATACTATATTACTTGACCTCACTTTGGAAACTAGCCACATACCTAGTCTAAAATCTACTAATTTGAAAACATTTACATAAAATAGTTACAGACTTAACTCGAGTACTTACGTTGATTACTTATGAGTGATAATGGAAGTCCATGATAATTACGTACTTCTGTGAAATCTAAAATTGAACTGCATGGATACAGTCTGAAAACATGCCACACAACTGGTAAACAAGTCTGGCCAAATGTTGTACTATACTCATATGCTCTCCATAAACATGGGGTTTCTCAAAAATTTCAATTAACTTCAATAGTACTAGTGGGGGAAATTATTAAGTGATTCATGTTCACAAACATAAGGTTCACAAATAATGAGAATAGAAAGTAAAGGTAAAAGGCAATCTAGAATACCAAAACAGTCTTCAAAAAACATTTATTTTTTAAGAGCAACAACTGACTTACCTAATTATGACTCCACCTTAATTTGCATAGCAATGAAAGTGAAATTATCTAATATGGCTAACCTAGCATTCCTTTCTGCCTTCAGAAATTTCTAGAGTTCTAAAAGGTGGCAATTATTTAAATACAGTTTTAAGTAATGCAAGCAATGAATGAGATGAAGTTGCAGGTATGGTTACAAAAAACAAAAAAGATTTTCAACATTTTTAAGGATCTACTTTTTGTGCCTACTCAATCTATATGCTAGACACATTTAGCCTAAGGAGATTCAGAATGCCACTCACCTCTAAATGCAGTTTGGGCTATCATGGGAACATGGGGAAATTAATAATAGCAGCTCAACAGAAGTAGAAAGAAAACAAATAGCAAATTTACAAATTTTCTGGGAAATCATTCCCAGACTGGACAGTCAATCTAGCAGCATTGTCCTTAGAAATAAATACTTACAAATAAAAGCCATAGCTACTTTTTCTTAAGTCAGCACTTACTTATTTGACACTCACGTAGGTTAAGTATCACTGTGCTTTTATTTAACTCCAGCACAACTCTAAAAGACAGGTCCTATCATCTCCACTTTACAAATAAGGTGAATGATACTGTGAAAAGTTAAGATACTTGTCCAAAGGCACACAGAACACTAGAAAATGACAGAACTAGGAATGAATTCCAAGTTCATCTAACTCCAAATTTTATTCCTTGCTCTTTCCTGTATCTTTGGTAAATCACATCATCCTGAATGAAAGGATGAACATCTTCAATTTAGTTTAGTTCCCTCCATGGAAGAGATGGGCAGAATAGACCAGGGATGAAGATTCTAAAAGCTAGTATACAATCTTTCTAACTCCCACATTTTTCTATTACTGCCTATTGGACTAAAATTTATTTAACTATATTTTAAAAGGGTCTATATGTTTGATTTGAGGAACTTCAAGAAAAGGGGACCCTGAATATCCAAATGCATTCTATAATAAGCCTTATGGGGGAACTGAAGAATGGTGAGCTATTTTTGGTTGAAGTAGGAACCTTAGGGCTGTGTTCAAAAAGATACTAGCTAATAGCAGAAAATGAAAATCTTTTAATTCCTTCCTTCCACACCCACCCCCTCGAAGAAAGACTTATATTTCCTCAGTAAGGCTGGTAAGTAATTATTAAAATATTAGATCAGTCAATGGATGTTAAATATATTATTACTAAATCTTTATTCCAGCACTGTTTTTTAAAAAAAAAACAAAATATTAAAGGATCTTTTGCACAACTCAAATACACTGCATTTTTTCCTAAAATCATGTGGTTCTAGAAATAATTACACAAGTACATTCTTGAAGGAAAAGATGTTTCTAATATATTTATAATGTAATGCTGATAGAAAATAGGTAATAAACCTTTGATGGTGATAAGTACCTTCATTCTTTGCATCTGCTCTCTATTAAATGTATTTTGTTTCTTTAGTGACTGATACTTGACTTTCATACTGATAAACTGACGTTCCATTGCAGCCCTTCGATCTTCTACCTAGAAAATATTAACAAGTTTAATTATCTTGTGTTACATGAAATGCCAGTTTAATCGATGGAATGTTTGTAAGTACCTCTGCAAACAAAGAGTTGCCTTTACTATTGGGGTCCAAGGCTTGCTGGAGAGCCTGGTCTAACTGCACCTGAAGATCTTGATTTGTTACACGAGCTTTCTGAATTCAAAAGAAAACAGTTTAGCTAATAGAAATTAGATTAACATGAAGATAGTTTATTATAAAGTGAAAAAGATGGCATTACAGGAATCATAATACCTCTAAGGCATTATAGTAAGAAACTGCTTCTTTCTCTCGCTCCTCTTTTTCTTCTTTAAGGCAGTCTACTTGGCGCATTAAATTTGTACTAAGAAGTTCCAGCTGTTCTTGTCTGTACTGCAGTTCATTGACTTCTTCTTTGAGGGAGGTCTATTCAAAGGGAATTGAGAAAAAAGGAAACACTCTAGAATAATCCCTATAGCCAATAGTTTCCCAGAGTTTATCAACAGTAGTTCACACCCAAAACTGAAACTAGAGAACTAGTCAAAGATTGTAAGGAATAAAATAACAAAAACTTTTCAACAGAAAACCAAATAAAAGGTTCTGAAGATTGTTTTTCTTTTCCATAAATTTAAGACTTTAATTAACCTTAATGTGCAATAAAAACTGTATCCATATGCATATCAATTTTCACAGGACATTTTGTATTGCGCTTTTATAACACCAACTAGGTTCAGAGTAAATGTCTCTAAATCTTCCAGAGCTTTCTTCTACTAAAGGCAGTATACCTTAAATAATCATGTAGTCTAAGAAAAGGTTTATTATGCACAAAGCAATCCACCTAAAATTAACTTTTTTTAATTAGGCCAAAAGATATTTCTGCCTTAAAACTAGCTCTTCAGGATTATTACAAAAACATGGGGAAAAAAGGAAGAAATCCTCAGCGAAAACATGCCATAAAAATTACCTTTATATTTTCCATTTCAGTAAGCTCAATTTGAAGGGCCAGCATCTCAGAAGACATACTTTCATGTACACGTTCAGACATCATCCGCATTTCTTCTGATTTACTAGAAAGGAGTTCCTTTTGATGCTCTACTTTGTGCCTCAGCTGCTTTTCACTAAGCCTAGCTTCATCTAATTCTGCCTTCAGTTTCTCTATCTAAAGAAAAAAAAGTACACAATCACATATATCAAAAGGTAATTTACAGTATCTGCAGGGTAACTACTTTGGAAAACAGTCAAGTTAAACAAAGTTACTTAACTATTCTTTCTGAAGTGCCAAATAGTTTCAAATCCTGGAAAACTAAAAATAACAGCTTAAAGAGAGAACTTTCAGCAGAAACATGAAGCTGTATGGTCAGGTCTACGTTAATCCTGCCCCAGTTCTAGTCCTCATATGTAAAGTTGGTAAATGATTGTACCTACAATCACTAGGTTACTGTAAGGACCTAACTGTGAAATTGAGTATGTAAAACATTCAGGAGCAGTGAGGAAGATAGGGGTATGAGTGTAGTTTGGTGGAACGGGAAAAAATTCTAACAACAAAAGCTCTTGAGATAGCTGTTGAAGAGAAACCTAAATGAAAAAAATAAATACATTAACTTGAAATTCTACTAAAATAACCCAAATCATAGATTTCATTTTCACATAATTCACCAATAATGCACACATGCAAATACTGTTCCTTTACAAGATTGAGTCACTTCATTTCAACTTAAAAAAAAAGCTCAACTATGTAATTTTATTAATTTAATTACTTAGAATAAAGAAGTATTTAATGAAAATTAAGTAACAGTATAAGTGGTACAAAGATGTAAAAAGATGTTGAAAATTGCAAAGCAGACTTTAGAAAAAAGAGATCAAAAGTTGGGCAAGTTTTGGTAGAGAGGGGTCAGGTAAAGTATGGAATCTATACAAAGAGGAGCCACAATAAAAGTTCGGATGCCTTAGAAATAGAGGTAACCTGAATGCACTGGGAAGATGGGTATGCCTAAAGGGAATGGACAATCACTGAACAATTATTTTGTATTTATACTTGAAATAGAGCCAAAATGTGTCATTAGACTAAGAATAGTTTCTTACAAGGATTATAGGCTTTGCAATCAGACAGGCTTAATTCAAATCTTAACTGAAAATTGCCAGCACTGTAATTTTGTTCAGCATACTCAATCTGTTTAAAACATTGGTTTTCTCATAAGTTATATGGAGATAATGATAACTCCTATATGGAGTTGTTATAACAGTTGGAACATACGACGTATCAATTCTACAAAGTATCAATTCTAATGTACATTAATTTACAAGAAACTATTATTTTCTTGTGGTATTAGAAAGCACACTGCTAGGTGCAGTGAAAGCAGTGGGGACTACTGTTCCTAAGAGACTATAAGCATCATAAGCAAGGTTATTAAACTAAAACTCTGAAACAAATATCCAGTTACTAAAATTAAGTAATTTCATTTAATTAGCAGAATGTTATTTACACAACACTGTACAAATCCCTTAGGTCAACTCTTGTTTCTTTGTGTTCCCACTCCCAACATTAAGATGATGGAGGCCTTGATCTCAGCTAATCTGCACAGATGGTACTAAGAAAATGGTGCCACTTAAAGTTAACAGATGGTTGCACAAGCTAGAAACATTTTGTTTTCCAGAAATACATGAATATCCAAACCTTATTTTTTAGTTCATTCACTTCCTGTCCATGGCTTCTGCTCAGCTGCTCTTCTAATTTCTCAAGGTGCATTTTTTGTTGTTGTTTAATAGCTTCACATTCAGAACTCAAACTTTCTAACATTCGATTTTTGAGCTCAACTTCTCTCTGAAGAGTGTATTTTTCTTGTTCATAATTCTGAAAACAGATTCAATTATAATTCAGTTACATAAAAGTGACTTAAAGCCATCACATATAGGTAGTTCTCACCTTCAACTATTTCAATCCTGTCTCACATATTTGCTGCTAAGTTAACACATGCTAAATCTGGAATAATTTTGTTGGTAATAATCTTAAATGAAGAAAGAGTGAATTAAGTATAAACACAAATACTAGACTAACTTTACTTTCAGATGTAGTCATCTGAGAGATGCTCTCAAAATGACTACTTGAATGAACACATTTGTGAAACAAAAGTATTGAACTTTTGCATATTAACATGGAAGTTAAAGATAAAAAGGGTAGCCATTCAAAATTTTCACCAGGCTTTAATAAAATATCAGTAAGGTAAAATAAATTTAGATTAAATAAATAAGACTTGAAATATTCAGATTATTCCCCCAAAGTCATGCTATTTTAAAAGAATGCAAAGAGAAGCTTAATTACTCAGTAAGCACATATTTGACAATTTATTTCCCAAAATGATTTAATATAGCACAGTTTTAATTTTACTCTTAGAGGTACTTGTAATCTTCACTTTGCCTTTAGGACTTGACATTGAGTTCTGGGTTAAGAATAGTACTATTTGAGAAGAAAAGGGTTGACATTAGTGATTTTATCCATTATATTTAAATTTTGAGATCTAAGTTTAAATGTTACTGAGCATTAACGAAATAAAACTGAGTTATTGTTTCAATAAATATCGTCAGACATCAGGGATAAAGCCGTGAAGATAACAAAATTTGCTATTTCATGGAGCTTATAATCTAGAGATAATTAGCAACACAGAGAATTAACAGTTAGTGACTGCAAGTGTATAAAACTTAGTCACAGGAGGCTTATGTTGAAACTATAACAGAAAACTGAAGGTTGAAGATTTAATCCATGTTAGTGAGAAATGAACAACTCAGATGGTCAACAGCTGGTGTTAAGGCTGAACAAGGGTAAGCAGTTTAAGATGAGGTCAGGTCAGGAGGGGTCAGATCTTACAGGGATCTGCAAACCCAAGTAAGTAACTTGGATTCTGTTGTAAACATAATTGGAAGCCATTGCATATTTTTAGCTGATACATGACAAATTCTTTTATATACACTTCAAGGACCACTTGGCTACTGTGTGAAGAGTGGGTGTTATGAATTGCAATGAGGGAAGCAGGCTACCATAGGACTCTAGGGGAGAGATGACGGTGGTGTGGAATAGAGTGACAGTAGCATAGAGAGTTGCTTTGCAGGTCAAGTTCTTAGAGAATACTCATGGATTAAAAATGAGAAATAAGGATCAGAAAGATATTGTGCAAAATTCTTCGATTTTTAGTTCAAACAACTGGATGAATATTATTATACTTACTAAGTAAGCAAAAGAAAATTGCAAATGAATGTTAGATTAGTGAGCAGGGAATCAACTGTTTATGTTTGAGAGGTCCCTAAGTGGGCGGGTCCAAGTCTAGGCTTTGGAGAACTAAAAGGATTTGGAGTAGTATCATGGGGCATATAAGTATTATCTAGAGCTATGCAATAAGGGAGGTCACCTAGGGAAAGTATAGACAAAACAAAATCTAAAATCCAATACATAGTAAAGAGAGCAACTTGATTTTTCAATTTCAAACACAATGGGTTGGAAAATAATATTAGGAATTCATTTAGTTCATTCCTCTTATGGATTCGGGGTAGGTAGAAACCGTATCTAAAATCTTCAGAAAAAGGATAAAATAATATTAATTGCTAAACAACAAACTGTCAATATTTAAACACAGCTTTGTGAACAGAGTCTAGAGTACTACCTCAGTCATGTTCATCATTTCATTACGACATCTGTCCAATTGATTTTGCAATTCATTCTGGCTCTCCACAAGTTGTAAACCATACTGTGCAGCTTTTAGTCGCTCTTCTTCAACTTCTTTTAGCTTGCATCGGAGATCTGCAATTATATCTGTCTCCATGTTCTTTTCTATTTTCGGCCTACTATACACAGGGAAAATAAAAGTACTTAAGCTTAAACAAAAATTCTACACAATAATACCAATAATAAAAGATATATACGATATACTTTTTATTGGACAATAGTATTCAGTACATATATACATATATATGTACACACACATACATACTCAATGCTACTACACTTTAAAAAAAAATAGTGTTAAAGATTTTCTTCCTGACTTGTAAATGGTCAAATTTGGGTTCCTGTTCTAAGAGCAAGGTCTGACAAATGTGTTAAGTGAGTTGAGACCAAATCAAATAAAGCAAAAAAAAAAAAAAAAAGACAAATACATTTAATTTTGCTTCTAAGGAATTTAGTAATTATTCAGTTGTGTGTTAAACATCCTTAAATGCTAAAGTAGGACAGGTTTCATAGTTAATTACTATACCAGTAATTAAATTAAGAACACAATGAAAGAAATAAAGAAAACTTATAGTAGAATGACTGCTATTTAAATTAGAAAAGGCAGCTTTGAATAAGATTAACAAGGTAAGGCAAGAGCAACTGTGTCCACAATTTCTCATAATGGTGTTAACTTCTTAAATACATTAAATGTGCCTTGCTGAAAACATATTCACTAGTATTTTCCTAGCTCTTCATAAGAGAGCATGCAAAATAGAAACCATGTTCAGAGTAATAAAAGCACATTGCCTTCATTCTAGATTTTCAGGCAAGGACTTTATTATATATAGAAACATTTCACTTTAACTCAACCTCACTTGCCATCTTTTTCAAATTGGTCCCAGTCTCTTAGACCATACTCAAACTCAGCTTTGATTCAAAAAGGACTAGGCCATTACTAAGGAGTCCCTCAAGTGTCCTGCCAATGCATTCATTCATTCAATCTGTATTTCTTGAATGCTTTATATACTAGGCTCCTTTTCTTGGCACTCTGGGTACATTAGAGAGCAAAATAGACCAAAAAAAAAAAAAAAACAACTCTTCTTTCATGAAACTTACTTTCTAGTGGAAGAAGATAAGCAATAATTAAGAGTATAGTACATTAAAACATGAAATGGGGAAAAAAGAATAGGATAAGGGAAGCTGGAAGAGCTAGGGATGGTGAACTAGGATGAAATTTAAAATAAATTATAGGGGAAGGGAGCCCTCAGGTGACTAAGCAAACCCTTACATAAGATGAGAGAATTAGCCATATACCTCTTCAGAAAAAGAACAGTGTAAACAGAGGGAAAGCAGTAAGATGGAAAGAAGTCCAAACATTGAATAAGATATAAGTTTATTCAGAGAATAGAAGGAATGGGCAGATAATGGGAAGAGTGGGCAGATAAGGTCATTTTAAGGATTTTAGAGTAGATATTGGGCACATTTAAAAGGAGCATTTTGGCCATTATGTTGGGGAATTTGGAGCAGGGACCAAGCTAGAAGCTAAGAGATTAGGTGAGATGATAGCTTAGATCAGGGTGATTGCATAGAAGGCGGTAAGGAATTGTAAGATTCTGTATATATTTTTAAAATAAAGTCAACATGGTTTTCTGACAAATGAAATGTGAAATGTGAGAAAACAAAGTTAAGTGAAAAATGCCTCTAAGTCCTCTGGCTTGACTAGAATAGATTGGTTGTCAACTGAGATACTAAAAGCTGGGAGTAAAGAGTATTTAGAAAAGAAAATCAGGGGCTTAAATTTTGGACATGAAAGATATCAAGAAAGCAACTGGCTATGTGCATAAGTGGGTCTAAGCTAGAGATATAAATTTGGTAGTAATCAGCATAAATTTTTGAGACTTGGTATCACAAGAGTGCAAATAAAACTAAAGAGAAGTGGATCAAGATTGAGCCTGTTAAGAAGAAAGATAGCAAAGGAAAAGAACATAGCAAAATATACTCAGGCAGGAAACGTGAGATATGAGGAAAACCAAGAGTACTATCATTGAGCCAGTGTATTAAAGAGGTTGGAGTGACCAATAGCACCAAATTCTTCTGCTAAGTCAATTAAGGTGAGAAGTGAGATATAGCCATTGGATCTGAATTCAGGCGCTGGTGACCCTAAAAGCAGTTTTGGTGGAGAGATGGGGACAAAAGCCTGACTAGAAAGGGTTACAGTGGGAACAGTACATAAATAGGTGACAGCAAGTACGATTTTTGGCAGATAAATGGCACTGCACCTAAACAGAAAGTAGAGTTAAATTTTTGTTGCTTTATTTTTTTTTAAATTATTTATTTATACAAGAAATGGGTTACAGGCCAGAGGCGCGGGAGGCTGAGGATTCACCAGAGGCAGAGCCGGGAACAGAAGAGGCAGACTGACGAAATACACTGCTGAGGGAAGCAGCGGGTGAGACTGGAGGGGTCTGCCCCGCCCTGTGGGATTCTCGCTGGCCAACCTGGGATGGAACCCTTGCTGCAGAGGCTGCGAACAGCTTCACAGTGTGGCGCTCAACAGCCTGCGCCACCCGGGAGGTCCTTTATTTTCTTCTGAACAAATAAAAAGGCATAATAAAATAACATGTTTGTAATGTCATGGTATAGATCTAAGAGAATAAAATCCGATGATATGGTGGACAATGGAGAAGTGCTGAAGTGATAAATAGAGGATGATGTCTAAAGAACTGGAACTGATTTTAGACAGGAAGATATTTCATGTAGAGTAAGGGAAAACAAATTATATGGATACAGACAATGTGAACAAGTAGATAATAATGATGGAAGTCTGCATTAAGTGTCCTTATAACTGTTTCAATTAGTCAGTGAATTAAGAAGAAAAGTCTTTAAGAATGAGGATGAAGGGAATTGAGTTTGAAAAACGTATCCTATCCACTGCTGGCAGTTAGCTACTCTAAAACGAAACTTTTCAAAGCCTGTACTTGAAGGGGCAGGTCAGCCAACTGTTGCACTGATAATAACAAATTATACTTGCTGAGGATTTACCATTTTCCCGGAACAGTGCTTCAAATGTACTAGGGTTAGCCTAAGTGCTACAATCATCAATATTTACCAAAGAAAAACTGGAGCCAGCCTCAAGATATCCTAACCAGCCATGTTTAATGAATTCTAAAAATGAGTTCTCATCCATTCAAAAGATTTGCTGAAATTCCTGTTATGTGTCGGGTACTATGCTATTGCTGAGGATACAATGATGACGCTCAAATTAGACAATATTCCTGTCTTCTATAGTCTTATGGTCTACGAATGGAAAGGCATTGCATCAAACTGAGCTGTAAAATTGCAATTGTGATAAACTGCAAGATGGAGAGATATACTGTGCTGCCTGACCTATAAAATGGGGACGCTTTCCTGTCTGGGTGGTGGGCCTGGGGCAGGATAGAGGAAAATATAGTCAAGGAAGATTTCCCTGAGGAAGTGACTTTTCAGCAAAGGTTTAATGGAAGATAAAGAGTTAACCTGTCAGAGCCTCCCTGGTGGTGCAGCCAATTGAATGCTATGCTGTGAAACTGTCTGCGGCCTCTGCAGCCTGGGGTTCAATTCCCCTCCAGCCAGGGAGAAACCCACATGGTGGGGCAGACCTCTGCTCCCCTCGGCAGTGTCTTCTATCTGTCTGACTGTTCTGATCCCTGCTCTGTCTCTGATGAATTCGCTCACCCTCTCGCGCCTCTGACTGTACTCCAGTGTTTGTATAAATAAAAATAAATCTTAAAAAAAAAAAAGTTAACCTGTCAATCTGCAAAGAGATGATCAGGGTTGAATATCAACAGCAGCTAATAGATGCCAAACATTGTGTGGTGGTACCTTGCATACATCACACATTATCTTATTTAATTCTCTCAACACCCCATAAAATGTAAGATATTACCACGTTTTACACATTTGCAAACTGAGGCACAGAAAGGTTAAACAACTCGCCAAGCATCGTCAGCTAGTAAGGACTAAGTGAGACAGGAGCCAGGATCTAACCTCAAACTCTGATGCTCCTTGCCATTTTTCGGATCTTCTTCTTAAAACATAAGCGTGCACAAAGCATTTAGAAAACAGAACTCTGGAAACAAGGTTGCCTTAGTTCTTACCCTACCTCCACTACTCACCGGCTACAATGAATTTGGACAACTTATTTAATGCCGCCTTCTGTCATTTATGAAACAAGCAGAGTAACATCTACACAATAGGGTTTTGGACATCAAATCTCAAATCCTCTAATGAATATAAAACAATTAGGGTAGAATCTGACATCTGCTGTCCTTGGGGCAGCGCAGCTCCACGGAAATAGCGAGCCACAGATTCGGGCTGTCCTACACGGCAAGCGGCTCTGGTACTGGCCGGTGCAGACCTAGCGTGTGAACCTTCGGGGGCCCAGCGCTTCCATATTTATGCGAACCCCCGGGGTCGGCAAGGCGACCCCAACTGCAGACTGAGGCCCGCTCGGAACCCGGTTAATCAGAACTCCGGGTTCCGCCGCAGAAGCTGTTCTGACTAAAGGCCTTGGGGACCCCCAGGCCCCTGGTTTCCTTCAGCCCTTCTCTCCTCCCCAGACGCCCCCCCTTAGCCGCTCCCCAACAGCACCTCTCTCCAGTCCCCGTGCCCGGACCTCTCTCCTCACCCCTCGCCCCTCCGCGACAGCCGGCAGGGCGAGTTCAAGACGCCCAGGTTGGAGACCGCAACTTCCGCTCACCACTGAGGTGTCGCCCATTCACGCAACACCCGGGTGAGCGCCTGGGCTTTTTGAATTCAGTTCCCGCGATAACCACACTTCTCACGAGATCTCCCGCCGGAGGCGCGCCTCTGGAAACTACGGGGAGGGACTTCCAGCTGCGCGTCCCGCCCCCGCTGCAGCCACTGCGCAGGTGCAAGCGGCGCGCCCTGGGCTTGGCGCAGGGCGTGACTGCTCGCCTCTGTGTTGGCCTTCAGGGGGTCCGCTTTTGATTGCCTCGTTTTATTTATTTATTTATTTAGTTTGTTTTTGCTTTTACAAGAGTGTCTTCTGGAGAGACAGTGTCGCTAGAAGTTTAGGCGGTGGGGAATTCCGAGGTGTGCCGGCCCCACACACCCTGCCAGAGGATTGGCCAGTGTGCGCGCCCATGGCCCTGCCTTCTGCTACGTACTTTATGGTTCCATTAATCTCAATCGGTGAGAGTGCCAAAACGCATCTTAGGACAGAGTCACTGTTACAGTTATAAGAAAGAATGACTATTATAACGGCGTTAATATTTGAATTTTTATTAGGAGCCAGTACAGTGCAGAATATTACACGGATTAACTTCATTTAAGCCCAGAAATAGCCTACTTCCTAAGTAGGGGATATTATACTCTAACAGGGAAACAAAGTCCAAAGAAAAAAAATCTGTGCCAAGTGGTAGAACAAGAATTTTAACTGACCCGCTGCTGCTAGAATCCCAGCGCTTGTAGATTTAAATGATGAATGTGTTGTAAACTTGATGCCTATACATACTCAAAAATTTAAATAATCATATAATAATAACCAACATTCAGTGAGTATTTCAGAGTTTTAGCAACCCTTCTGTGGATCATGTTATGCTTTTGAGTTCATCTTTTCTTGCCCACTTGAGGACTTGCCTCAGAGCTCCTCGCTTTTTCATTATCAGTTTTTTTCTTATTTGTTGGATCCTCCCTGTCTGCAAAGAAACATGCTGTAATGACATCCATCTCAAAATATAATACTCAGCCTTGACCTTAGTCAGTTACTGCCCCATTTAATTGCTTTCCTAGATAACAAAATTTCTGAAGAAAAAAAAAAGTTGAAGCTCAGTATTTCCTTTTTCTTACCTTTTATTCTTTTTATCCCACTTAAGGTTTTGAGTCCCTCCAAAGCAATGAAATGGCTATTGGCAACATAACCAATGTTACCTTGCAAAATTCATTATTTAGTCCTCACTTCACAATTGACAGAGCTAAGCTCATAAGTGAATCTCTGTTTAGGTCTTAGGATGTCACACCCACCTGGCTTGCTTCTCAGTTTTCTTTGCATACTTCTGTTTTTGACTGAGCTAGACCAGGCTATAAAGGATTGAGCTGGGTTGAAGACTGGCAATAATAATGCCTTTCTTTTGCTCACATTATAACTAGTAGATGCATTTTTGGGTCTGAATGAGCCTGATGCTTGTTGATTTGTCATCACCATGTTCTATAAATATTAACTGCTACATCTGCTTGGTATAGTGGAAGGAATCCAGAGATGTGATAATCTCCATCCTTCTCTAGGAGATGCTCACAATATAGTAGGGAATTAAAAATCCAAATATAGGGCCTCCCCGGTGGCGCAGCACTGTGAAGCTGTTCACAGCCTCTGCAGCACGGGTTCGATTCCTGGCCGGCCGGGGAGAAACCCACATGGCGCTGCAGACCTCTCCTGCCTCATCGCCCACTGCTCCCCTCAGCAGTGTCTTCAGTCTGTCTGCCTGTTCTGTTCCCCACTCTGTCTCTGGTGAATCCACTCACCCTCCTGCACATCTGGCCTGTCCCCCAGTTCTTGTATAAATAAATAAATCTTAGAACTATAGGGTTGAATATAAAGGAGTTATGCTAAGGTGTGGGTTCCTATGATCTGGCCACTCATGGGCAACTGTGGTCTATTCACTATCTACAAATCATAGCAGAACATTCCTTGACTATCTACAGAGTATAGCTTGTATCACGAGGCAGGTCTGGGGACCCTAGGCCGCTGTTGACCTGATTATGTGACTCATGGTCTCGAAATAACTTTGCCTGTGATAACATCATGCTTTGCTGAGACAAACGTCTCTTGATACATAGTCATGATGTCCCCTTCCCTGTTCATTGTAAAACTTTGGCCCCCATTCCTATCTATCCTCTGGACCCTTTTTCTCATATCATTGCTGCATGATCAGCTTTTACTGTCCTGTATGATTTCACTTTTTTTTAAACACATTCTTTTTTTTTAAAAAAAAAAGATTTATTTATACAAGCACTGGGTACAGTCAGAAGCATGGGAGGGTGAAAGAATTCACCAGAGCCAGATCGGACAGCAGAACAGGCAGACTGACAAAGTACACTGCTGAGGGGAGCAGTGGGCGGCAGGAGAGGTCTGCATGCCATGTGGGACCCTCGCCGGAGGGCCGGGGATCAAACCAGTGCTGCAGAGGCTGCAGGCAGCTTTGTAACCCAGCACTCAACCACTGCACCACCGGAGAGGGCCTGTCCTGTATGATTTCAATAAATGACAAAAGAACTTCTGCTCAAGTAGCAGAGTCTTGCCTTGCAAACCTGGTCCAAGACCATTGTGTCCCTCATCAATTTCCAGCACAGTGGCAACAAAGTTGCAAGACTAAGGGCAATGATATTTTTCATAATGTTTCGTAGTGCAGGTGGCATTTGAAGATGGCAGAACTAAAGAGGAGTGGGTTCAAGGAAAGGAAACCTCACTAGCAAAAGCATAGACACTATTCAGGAGCTCCCTGGTGGCACAAAGAGTTAAGCACAGCACTGTGAAGCTGTCTGCAGCCTCTGCAGCATGAGTTTGATCCCTGGCTGGCCAGGGATGGCGCAGCAGACCTCTCCTGTCTGGCCTGCTGCTCCCCTCAGCAGTGTATTTATTTCAGTCAGTCTACCTGTTCTGTTCCCCACTTTGTCTTTGGTGAATCCTCTCACCCCCCTGCACCTCTGGCCTGTACCCCAGTTCTTGTATACATAAATAAATCTTAAAAAAGCAAAAAAAAGAAACTATCCATATCATAATTAGGTCATCCTTTAGATACTATCTGGATAGGGTGCTGTCACTACCACTACTGGACACTAGGTGTCACAAATGAAAGCAATGCTATCTGTCCCCACTTGTTTGGATAACTTGCTTAAGATTTACAGTTCCAGATGCGGATCCACATACACAAATGAGGTACACATACCATGCGCTAAATGCCAAGATCAGACAGGCAAAAAGCATTTATCTGTTTTTTCATCTTGCATAATAAAAAATGGGATTTTACCTTTTCCTACACAGTAGTGAATTCATACCAGTCATAGGACGGGCATTTAAGTGTTAGGAAACAATGGAAAAATGTACTTCCCCTATACAATTTCTAATATTATGGCACGTGGCGAGATTTAGGTCAATTAAATAAAATGAAATACGAGGAATCCTAGAAAAATATGTTTTGTTTACCCCCTCTGCACTGAAATGTTGCAGCCTAGAGCTGCCAGCTGCCATGTTGGGTCTGTGAAACTTAAGTCTTGAAATGGAGTCAAAAGCAAAATTAATAAATAGGAGGGAGATATGGTTTGGCCTACATAAAACTCTCATAAAGCTAGGGATATCCCTGAACTTATTAGTTTTCACTCAAATGACATCAGTTAGAGTTTTCTGTTATTTGCAACATCAAGCGTTTTAACCAATACAGTCAATAATAATTAATGTCTAAGCTTGAGTGGATTACTTAAACTGTCAAGCTCCCAGTCTACATTTAGAGTTTTATGAGGCTAAAAATGGAAGTTGCTTACTTGGTGATGGTTCCTCTGAGAAAAACACCTTCTTTTAACTAAAAGGAAGGTTCATCTTATGTGAAGAGGTCTGCTGTTAAGTGGAGGAAAATAAGAATCTAAACAACTTGTCTGGAATCCCTTTCTTGGCACCACTTCACATTATCATGAATCACATATTAAACTAATTTCTTCAGGTAATTTTAGCACCTAAGTCAAGAGTAAATGTTTATATCAGTTTTGGGTTTTACTTGCCAACAGTAGTACCTGCTCTGGTTAGTTTAAAATATATATGTAGGAAGGTTGGTAGGTATGTGTGTGTGTGTGTGTGTGTGTGTGTGTATTTTTAAAATTTTTGTAACTATTCACCAGACTGCAGTTGCTATTTATAATTTCCTATCTTCTAGTACCCACTGTACATTCCTTTTATTTTTTTGACAGTACCTCAACTAATTGGGGCTGTTTATCCTATTCCATGACCCAAATCTACACTGCTGATAAAACATATTCACTGGTCATGATTTATATTTTTCACTATTCTTTGGCCCAAATTTATTTGGTCTGACTCAAAGTGGGATGGGATCAAACTTATAGTCCTCTTCTTTCTCTGAGTGTTTGAAACTGACTACTCTGTGTCTCTGTGTGTGTGTGTGTGTGTGTGTGTGTGTGTATGAAAGAGAGATAGAGAGAGCGAGAGCGAGAGAGCGAGAGAGAGAGAGAGAGAGAGAGAATTCAGTGGAAACAAGTGGTAACTGCCTTGATACTGTAATGATTAGTTTAATGTATTTTATTCCAAGAAGAACCGAGAACTGATTGGGTATACACACAGTAAAAGGGGAAATTTATGAGTTAGCACCACAAGGAAGCAGCTGAATACACATGTTCGGTAGTATTTGCCTTGTAGCTACCTCCTGTCTATTGCCACTAGGTGACAGTCTTTACAAATATTTTATCTGAAGGGAGAATCAGTTACAGAAGTTAGCTTCTATTGGGCGAGATGATTACCTTGCTTT